CGCAGCGGTTCCCTGTGCCCGGACAGGTACCTGCTCCAGGAGTCCTGCCGGGAGGCTGCGCTTGTTGGTGGCCGCCGCCTTCTGAAGGAGCTTCTTGGCTTCCTCCATCCTGCCTTTGGTCACCAGCCACCGAGCTGACTCTGGGAGCACCCTGCCGAGGAGGGGAGCTCAGCACACGCTGCTCTGACCTGCGGAGCTCCCCCACAGCCCTTTGTCACCACACCCGCAAACAGTGGGCATGCCATGGGAGGGATGGGCCTAAATGCCCTACCTTTGGGCTCCAAAGGCCCACATCTGATGACCTGAAGCAAAGCAGCTGCTGCTCTCAGCAGCCCAGTGTCCCAGGGAGCTGTGCTGAGCTCTGCAGAAGCTCCTCCAGCATCTGCACTGTGATGGGAAAGACCCATCCTGGGGCTGAGCTGCTGCTGCCTCCTCACTCCCACCCCTACCCTGCTGTTGTGTCTTACAGAAGCTCTGCCCAACTCCTGCTTACCAGATGTAGAAGAAAAGAGCAAACATAGGAGCGGATCCTGCAATCTCCAGCAGCCTCCAGTTGCGGATTCCGTAGCTCAGCCCAGCCACCATCATCTGTCCGATGGCAAAAGCAGTGTGAGCAATAAGCACTGACTTTGGCCGGAAGGAGATTCCAACCCATTCTGTGGCTGCAAAGAAGAACAAAACTTCGGGGTCACCCCTTCCAAAACATGTCAAGCTCTTTTTTGTTATTGTATCTTGTGAGGCCACCAAATGCTGCCTCAGGGCAAGGGCAACCTACTCACCCAGGGACACCACAGTAATCATAATTCCTGACACTGCAGCCCCCACGACACACCTGATGGCCATGTAGACATAAAAATGGGGCACAAAGGCAACTGCTAGACCAAACACGCCCTGGAGGAGCACGCAGATAAGAAAGACTGGCCGGCGGCCGATCCTGTGGGAGAAGAGAGAAGATGCAGTTGGTATCTGGAGAAACTCCATGGGGATAGGAAAGATCCCAGGTGGAATACTAAGTGATTTGAAAACCAGAGGAGATTTTACATCCCTATACATTTATATCCCTATACAGCCCAAGAAATAATGTGCACAAAAAACAGCGTCTCCACTTTTGAGCTGTCGCTCAAAGGCTGAGACATCAGTTGGGGCTGGACTTGTGAGTCCTGGAGGACCTCCCCTCAAGGCTCTGTCTGCACCTCTCTCTTTTCAACCATCAGACATCTACAGACACGTCAGGTGGCCCCAGATGCCCTTACTCAGTCAAGGGGACTGAGTCTGTGGAGGGAGTATTTCATGACCAGTGCGAGGACAGCCTGGCCCCTCAGCTGGGCTGTCCCTGAGTGCTGGGCAATGACTCCGGGAAGGTGACCGTGTTTCCTCACCTGTCACTTAGCATCCCAAAGAACATGGCTCCCACGAGAAGCCCAGCCATGTAGATGGACTGGGAGATGTCGTTCAGGACCGTCCTGTCACACACCAGGTCAAACTGGAGGAGGGAAACACAGATGCTGTTGCTTTCGACAGACCCCAGCTGCTTTCTGAGGATCAGAGTTGTAGCAGCTCCACTTCTCTGGATGCAAAGGCAGGACGGGGTAGAAGGAGGAGGAGAGGAGGAGAGCTGTATTTTCTCTGGTAAAGGAGGACCAGCGTAGGAATGGGAAGGGATGCAGCAGCTGCTGACAATCCTACAGAGAAGCTACCTGTGAAATGGGCATGGTGCTCCAGGGACACCAAAGAGCACTTGCAAATGCCAGAGCCTAGACTCTCTCCTCTGGCTGCAGCTCAGAGTAAGGTACTTGAGAGAAAGTGCTGGAGCTGGGAGGGAAAAAAAGAGGGAGAGAGGGAGGAAAGGATGGAGGAATGAGGCAAAGTGAGAGAGGAGCAGAGGTCCAGAAAGGGAGAATCACAGAATCATTTAGATTGGAAAAGACCTCCAAGATCATTGAGTTCACCTTTTGGCTGATCACCCCCTTGTCAGCTAGAAGGTGGAGGATAAATCAGGATGGAGAAGTTGGGAATGCTGACAGACAAAGCCTTTGCTCAACTGCATAGCCCATGGAACGTCTTGTTGCAGCCCCGAAAGACTCTGGAGGCCCCAGAAATATCAATGACAAATCACTGGAAGGTAAAGGTCTTTCACAGAGAAGGTGATGTGAGTAGAGCCAGGCTGAAGAATAGGAGAAACTGTGGCATGGACACTCAAAAGGTCCCTCCTGGCAGGATCGTAGGCTAAAGGGTCTGGATAGTGGAAAGGGAAGAGATGGTGGGCAGAGCTTGTGCTGGACTCACACTCCCATTGTGCCCTCCCTGGGCATCTACATCTGCAACAACCTCCCAAGGATTACAGCTGTGATGGAGGCAAAATCATCCAGTGCCTGGTAAATCTCAGCCTGACGGCACCACAGCTGGCATTGTCTGACCAAACCACAGGACAGGACACACCCATCCCTTCCCTTCCACGTCCCCCATCACCTCAGAAAGGGGTTACAGACCTCGGTCAGCAGGGACGGTGGCTCTGCTGAGGGGTACACCCAGCCACTGCTGCACTTCTGCGTGGCGTTCAGGCCATATGTCAGGATGGAGTCCAGGTCCCAGTCCACTGGGGAGTACATGGAGCACTGCTCGTACTGCCCGTCCGCATCCCGGGGCAGGGTGAGGTTCAGCTGCTCTTCCTGCGTCAGGTTGGGGCCAACAGCGAGGATCCAGCTGGTGTCACAGTGGTGGGGAACCTCCACAACCATGAACACTTGGCCAATCATTTGGAAAGGGTTAAGAAGGAGCGGGAGGGAGAGCAACAGTATCAGCAGTTTCTGGTATAGCCCAAACTCCCCCAGAGCACTTATGACATCTCCGAACTCAGCCATGGTGATTACTTCTGTGGCCAGGCTGTGCTGGTGCATGTGGCTTAAATAGGCAAATATTAATGTTTAAACTATGGCAGCACTAAACCCCTAATCCAGTGTGATAAAACGAGCACCTGTACCAGCATGTTCATCATTATGAAGATATGGTGCTGTCCTCCAGGGCGTACTTTGTCACCAGCCATTCCCTCCCTGTTCTCGGGAGCAGAACAAAGAGCACTGCCACTCTTGGAGATGATAGCATGGCAACAGCTTGTCTTTTTCCAGCCTGGAATGTCTCACAAGGCGTCCTGAAAGCAACTGTGCTGCAGTGCAAGGTTTTTTGTCTGAGACATGAAGTTGCGGCCCTACAAACGAGGGGTAGTTTTTCTGAGTGGGGTGAAACAAAAGGAGTGAATTTACTGCTCCCATTCATGGCTGTATAACCCATCCTGGAGACTATAGGAAAGGGAAGCAGAAAATCACTTCTCCTCTGGACCAGGGAATATGGCTGGTAGTCAAGTAGACTTGGTCTTGACAGCTGTGTCCCAAGCTGTCTGTTTTAATTTGCCCCATGTAGAAACCCTGGGTAGTCATAAAACCAGATCTAAACTGCAGTGTCTTGGGGAGAATCCTAAAATAGATTTGGCTCAGAGAGCACCCTTAGGGAAAACAGCACGTTACACACACAGACATACAGAGCACACGGGATCTGGGAAACAACACCAGCTTGGCTTTGCCCGAGGTTCTGATGTCACTTGAAAAGCAGATTGACCCGATTTCTGCTGCGCATCTGAGTCCCTTCCTGGGCAAACTCCCTGAGTGGTTTGTGTCTTTATTCCTGCAGACTGGATAGCTGGATTGCACTCAGTGTATGGAATTTGGTGTTTACTTTGGAAAGCTCTCCTGGCTGCTTTCACGAGAGTGATAAGGACAGGTCACTGACTTGTTCACTTCAAGTCTCCTCTCAAATTCTTTGTCCTTCCCCCTCAATGCAGGCAGGATGCATGAGCCTCCAGCGAAGTTACTGAGGGGTCACACGAGCCTGGATTGGTGTTCCATGAGTGGGAATGGCATTGTTGTGCTGACTGCTTATGGAAGTGGGAAGAGGGGTAGAATGCTTGATTTTTAAGCATGACCTCTCACCAGGAGAGGGGGAGTGAGGTCATACTGGTTAGTGCTACTAGTAAAGGAAGAGAAGAGTAAATGCTGCTTATGGGGTTGTGTAAATTCACAGCAGTGGTATTTGTGCATCATCTGCACACACCACACTGTTATGTATGGGTCATGGTGTCCCCTCCCATTCCTCTGCCACCAGCACCTCATGTGTCAAAGAGGTCAGATTTTGCCTGTAAAAACTCCTTGAGGGTGATCCAGACCTGACCGCAGTCTCGTGCTAATGCAGATGTGACTCCTTAAGGCTGTTCTTCCCAACATCACCAGTCAGGCACTTCTGAACCCCTGGGAGAGCTTCAACCCCTTGTAAACTCTGTCACCCTCAGGTGTCATTTCTCATAGAAAGACACTGTTCCTGTCATCTGGGGCCAAGTGGGTCAATGCCTACATGGTGGAGATCTCTCAGGGGCAAGAGTTGGAGCAGCCCTGCAAACCTCTGCTTCCTGGAGCCCCACTGATAAGGACTCTGTGCTTATTTCTCTATGTTCAGCAGTTTTGCTCGTGTGCATTACTAAGGCTTGGAAAACCTCTTGAAAATGGAGAAGCCTCTGCCAGAGGAACCACGAGAAACCCACAAGTCTCAGGGAAAACCTGGGATGGGAAGCTGGAAAACCTGTATATCCATGTCAAGGACTAGGGAAAGGGAGGGGGACCGTCCAAGGAAGTAGTTCAGAAAGAGAAACCACTGCGTGGGGAGGAAGCCTGGTGCAGGCAGTAGGGCATTGATGCACTAATTCATGGACTTTTCCCTTTCACAGCTCTGACCATCAGGAGTGACTGTAGCTGGAGACCCATTTGGACACCTATATTGGGGTGAATTCTGGCCAGAATGGATTCATACCCACCACCTGTGATGCTCCTACATTTTCCCTCTTCCTCTTAGGGCTGGCAGGGAGAGAACAGGTTTATGGGTGTCACCTGGCAGTGACAGCTTGGTCTGGGCATCACTCTGAGCATCTTTTGCACAGGTAACAGGGCCACCCACTTCCCACTGCTCCAGTGGAAGGTGCTTGATCTCTGCAAACCTCTCCATCTCTAAGCACAGCTTGACCAGGTTTCAGGC